TAAAATCACGTTTCCATGGTTACAGATAAATCTATTTCAACTGGACAAGGGGTGTCTGGGTTTTCCTTATGTCTGTATCATTGTATCGGTTATTAGCTACATTTTGGTAAGGGGTAGGGATGTATTTTTCAATGAAAACTGACATCCGTTGAATGCATGTCGTCTGGATTTTTTAAAAATTTATTGTTAACGGCAAAAAAATTCTTACGCCATTTTTTTCTATTTGTAAATTTAAAGATTTTTGGGGGTGTTCAGATTAGAATACTTTTCATTTAACTACGATTTGAAATATTCTCATTTTTAATTTTTATTATACTATATTTTTTTTAAGAACAGTTAAATGTATTAGAATCCCTTATAGTATATAGGATTATTTTTACATCAAGTATAAGTATGTATATTAGGTTACATTTTTTATTTAATTTTTTTTTTATTTATATTATCTAAGTAAAATTTATGACAATGGCGTCAAAAATAGTTACTTAATTTCACTGATTTAGTAAACTTTTATTTTTAATATCTATAAACCTAGTAATATATTGTTTCTCATGTAAGTACAAAGGACATGGGTCATTCAAAAGCTTACATCTTCTGGCATTTCATATTAATTTTATTTTACTGTAGGTGTTTTATTGGATTCTTTTAAGCGCGTGTAGTACTAAGTAAAAGAATATATATATATATATATATATATATATATATATATATATATATATATATACATACAGTGTAACCCGGATATAAGAGAAACCTGGATATAAGAGAGATTTTATCTGGTCCCAAAGTGTTCCCATACTTACCTAAACAAAATAGACCAAACCCGGATATAAGAGAAACCCGGATATAAGAGACTTCTTCTCCGGTCCCGACAACTCTCTTATATCCGGGTTACACTGTATATATATATATGCAGGTAGTTTGCTGCCAGTATACATTCTGGATTATTCTAATATCCTTCCCAAATATGTCAAGGTTACCTAGCAATTCCAACAGTTCTTTGTGACTGACATCTACCCAGTGGTGATATCATAGAGGTTTGAGTGAACTGATTCTTAAAATTATAAAAGCTTAACAAACTGGTTGTTGGATTATCTGAAAATAATCTTATATATTAATAGCTGATGGTCTAGGTAAAATGTTAGTTATACTACACTCACAGGTATGCCTAGTGAAAATAATGTGGCCAATCTTCTAGTCATAAATTTGATAGGTCTTCCATTGGATCTTTGGGACTGCAACAATTCAGTTCAAATGTGGCTAAGAAACCATAACACAGATGATGACACTAGAGTCAAAAAGCATCAAACTTTTGAACAGAAATATGATGAAAACAGGATATCAATCTGGAAATATCTTAATAAATAAATGCGTTCTATTAAATTACCAAATTGGTTTATTTTTTTTTATACTAAAGAAAAAATAATAAACAGAATAGGTTCCTAAAGATTACCAGCCTTTACAGAAGCGGTTCCTGGAAATCTAGGAAGCCATCACTGCATCTACCCAATAAAATTTAAAAACTCATAAAGAATAGGGAAATTTTTTGTGACTATTTTTTTTTTTTGATTTGTATTCAATAGGCTTTGCTCTACGTGTGACATTTGTAAGAAAATATTGATTCTTTTATAATTTTATTTACAAATGTCAAATTTTAAACTGTGTCCACATCGTTGATAATCCGCATACTAACGATGTTGTCCTTTTTTTCCAGTTTTTAAATGCCTTTTTACCAAACATATTTAGGTATTTTATTTTTTGGTTTAGTTCGCTTGCTCAGACAAAGGGAGATAATAAATATTTATCTTAAATGAATCCTACAACGAGGGAAAACCTTTTCAAAAAAAATAAAAGTAGATTCTAGTGAAAGAAGAAATAGAAATTCCAAGTTACAAGCCAATTATTTATTTACAATAATTGATGTTAAGCAGTTTATTTCTTTTTTCCCTGGTACTTTTAAATTAAGAATTATTTCAGAGGATAAGATTTGGCTGATATTATTATTTTGGAATCTTTTAAATTTGAAATATCTTTTTAACAGCTAGAAAGAAGCATACCAACTTCTTTTTCTGTTGATGTTTTTTCTAATCATTTCACCCAAAGCAAGGCTATAATCACTGTAGGGATGATGATGATGATGAAATAATAATAATAATTAATTATAAATAAAATACAACAATAACTTTGTTTAAAAGAAATTAAATAAAAAATAAAAATTCTCAACAAAAAAAAAAAAAAAAATATATATATGTATATATATACATCCTGCCAAAAAACGTTAAATTCAATCTCTTCACCACGAACCTTGGTACAGGAAACATGTGTCCAACTTCTCTCTGTGATATGACTTGTAATACTATGGAGTAAATTTCTCTTTTTTATCACATGTACCATAAAACAATTGTAACCAAACACACACACACACACACACACACACACACACACACACACACTCACACACACACATAAAAAAAATATAAGTAAATTGTATGAAATTAATATACAATTTATCATGATTTTCCTGTTACCTGTGTATGTTTTATTTTCTGTCAAGTATGCTTTTATCTCCATGAACACTGAGCTAATTTCTGCTGTAATGATGTGAGTGAATCCCCCACAACATTATGGTGACTGCCAACGTGTATAAGACAAAGCAACCTATTCACCCACATCACTAAGAAGACGCAAGGCATTTACTGGTAGTGACAGAGAATGAAAAAACTTTAAAGAGGAGAAAGGATAATAAAGGAACAGAATTCAGGAAGACAGAAGATGGGGATTGGCATTGCATTTAATTTTTTGAAGACTGTGGATGGAAGGGAAGCAAGAAACTGGAAGAAAGTTCCACAGGCGAGAAGTAAGAATCTTTGTAGATAAAAAATGAAAAAATATATATTGTTTATTTTTTTTTCTTGGATTTGAAAAGTAAACGTTTTATATAAAAAATTTACAACATGGATTGATATCAATTTAAATCTATTTTCTTGTAGAAAGTATAGATAGTGATTAATTGTATCATTTATATGCTTGACAACTTTATTGTGCTATTCATTTTTGATTAGTCAAAAAAACTAATAACAATAGTTGTCAATGCTTCACTGAAATAAATAAATAAAGGAAAATAATATTGCTGCCAACATGAAAAACAAACAAATATTGAGTTGATAAAGATATTGGAATGAAGTAATGGAGTCAGGTTTGTTTTAGTAGAAACTCAGCTGTTCATTATCTCTTTTAAATTCTGACTCGCCAAATTAATTAATAGAAATAATAATAATGTGTGACAATGCATTATAGGCGGAATAAATACATGTAGCAGTTATCTGCCTTGAATCAGCTCTACTCTTTCAAGGGAGGTAACTTCAAATAAACTATTTTTCTATTTCTAGGAATTTTGTTCACCTGTGAAATTGTATAGTTTTAGAAAAAATGATTATATATATATATATATAATATCCGAACAGTGACGTTCCATATCACGTGACGTCCGCGTCTCGCGACGGACGCTACTTGCTAACAAACAGAAATTTTAATTTATTTGTAACAAACAGTTATTTCTGATGAAAAATTGAGGACAATTTGAAATATCAAATATATATATAAATAAATAAATACTTTCATAAAATAAAACATTATTATTTTTTAATTTAGAACTTTTTTTTATATATATATATATATATATATATATATATATATATATATATATATATATATATATATATATATAAGCGGTTGTTTAAGAATTGTAATGAAAAGGTTGGGAAGTTTTAAATGAAATAAATTCAAACAGATGGAGGATTTTTATATTTATATAAATAAAATAATATATATAACGTTTTATATTTATATAAAGAAAATAACATAATTCAAAAAGAGATTAAATATACTTGTGTGTGCACAGATAGCTATAGATATAAAACTGAACGGATATTAAGCTTTTGAGAAGAATATCTGAATGAGGAAGTGTGTTTTCTTGAAAAACCGAGAAATAAAGTCTTCATGGCCAAACAGTAAAGCATGCCAGATCAAATGGTGGTTTCTCCTACAAAGGGGGACTCAAGTTCGAGCCATGCCGGAGAAAAATATTACCAGCAATAAATTTTTGTAAAGGAAATTGCTAATCCTGCCAAGAAAATTAAATTTCCACATTGAATGACCCATAAAGACTTAAACAAACAAACAAGCATATGTCAACTAAATAAAAACACAAAAAATATGCAAATAATATTAGCTTTCTAGGGAGAAAGTTGCTGCTTAACTCCCAAGAGAGATAGCAGTCAGGACTATGAGTGAAAAATCATGCGTCCTAAATTAAAAACATAAAAGATACCACCTGGGATGAGTTGTGTTTGTGTGGGACAAATATAAATGATAAGTATAGATATATTGGTGTATAATATTTTTGCATGACATATTTGTATATTCGAGTGCTCTGTATAAAATGTCTTCAGGCTTGATTCGTTTTTAAAATTAATTTCTTTAAATTATTTGTGCCTTTCCTTCCATCATGCTAAGGTGTTAGTATATCACTGATAAACTGATGCCTAATGTGGGCCTTGGAGAATGGAGAAAACGAAGATATCTCTTTTCTTATACCCAGCACCGCCATTAACATTTTTCATAGAGAAGTTTGTAATGTGAAATAATTATAAAGACACACACACACACTATCTATCTATCTATCTATCTATCTATCTATCTATCTATCTATCTATCTATCTCTCACTTACTGTTGTGTTAAAATGTGTTTCTGTTTTTTTACCAATTTTAAATACCTATTCTTGCTGCTGGAGTTTTTCATGAGTGAATTTGCAAAAAAAAAAAGCAGTTAGAAAAAAAAGAGAATATAAAAAATAAGAGGTACATAAATATTTTAATGATTGATACGACAGAAACTTGAAATAAAGCATATAGTAACTGAAGGACAAAATTTACTGCTAGGGAATGGAAACAAAACAAAATCAATTTTTTTTTGATGAACATTTTAGTCAAAATCTACTCACCTGCAATTTCATATCTGCTGCCAATGGAGTCAAATTCAACTCAAATAATCTGTAAGAAAATAAGAAATGCAATTCCAAAATATTCAAATGTCAATAATAAACAATGATTCGAAATTTTAAGAAGGCATCTCTAATCGTGAGTTTTATTCCAATTAAATATCATAATATACTGCTTGGTAAAACGAAAGACTGAATTAGACATGAATACATACTAGAAAGGGAAGACAGAGGAGATGATAACATTCTCATATCTTTAACATCTGCTTCAGTGAAATGGAAAACCATGTTAATTTTTTATTTGTACCCTCTTACTTCTTTATAAATGACCCGTGTTCATATTTATGATTGTTATTGTAATATTTTGTAAAACTGAAGTATTTAACAACTTTTGTAGGTATTTTATTGTCATGGAACTCGCAAGGAGGTTATTCAGTCATTAGTTTAAAACTTATGATTCATCAGAAAATGTGTGTGTGTGTGTGTGTGTGTGTGTGTGTGTGTGTGTGTGTGTGTGTGTGCAAAAATTCAGATATAACTAAAGTATATCTGTAAAGACAAAATAAATTGTTATGGAGTGATTTCACTGTGGAGGCTTGTGTTTGTACTAAGTCGGTCCTAAAATAGGTTCGATGTACAAAACATTAGGAACTTCATATAATAGGTATGACGCAGAGAAATCTAGTTGTGGTCGCTGATACTTTAGTGTCCGACTAACGATTGTCCGGCATCGACTGACTGACCGACCCACTCAGTGACTGCTCATTACTATTACTACTCCTACTTATTATCGGTGGGAGAGTCTATTAACTATAGAATAGGTGTGTTCCACTATAACATAAATAAAAGACAAATGGAAAACTATATTTTTCTGCCACTTTACTTCTGTGTATGTATACAAGTTCTTTTCCCCACTTTTCATGTAATGTGTGATGCACGTTTGGGTGATCGCGTCTCATTTTGATTCGTTGACAGAAGAATTCCCGCAGTAGGCTTCCGTTACTTCCTGCACTAGACTAGTTGCCAACCAAGGCTACAGGATCCAGTATGTCCTGTTATTTAACCCATAGCTGGGAAATACAAGATACAAAATAAAATTTCCACTTTTACTTTGATGAATTTCCTTAGGAGACTTAAACGTTTTGACAAAGAAAAGTCTTCCTTTTGTCTTTTTATACCGAACCTACATTTTGGGGGCCCTGAAGCTTGAACATATATGCCCAACCACCTTCACAACCAGCAACAAGAGATTCAAGGATCTAACTGCCAAAATGTAGGCTATGAGTAAATTCTGGCAAGCTCAATGGATCCATGCAGTTTGGGGTTAGGGTGCTTTCAAGCCTCCATAGAAATTTGAAATTTGACCAATTACAGGGAAAATTTCAGACCATATGAAATGGAAATTAAATCACTGTTTATATTATTCAGACTATTATCCTCATCTTTGTCTCCATATATATTATAACATTTCGGCCGTTGTACGTTCCGGCCGAAACGTTGTAATAAATATGGCGACAAAGATGAGGACAATAGTCCGAATAATGTAAGTAGTGTACATAATACCTCATCTCAGAAATATAGACGGATATTAAAGCATATTCTAAAGACAACAAGAGCCACTTCAACCCATTGACTTATGATTCTAGCATGAAAATGGCCTTATTTCAATAATAAACACTTAAAAAACTCATTGATTTTATTGAAAAATTCACTCATTAAAAAAGTTGTCTCAGGGTCATCTCTTGCATTAGTTTCATAGTGGATCCAGCTCGGCTTTTACACACACACACACACATATATATATAGTCTGCTTCTGTAGATGTGGGAGAGAGAGAGAGAGAGAGAGAGAGACAGACAGACAGTTAGGAATGTTAGGAAATTATGTTGGATGAAAAGTCCATTGATTCCTTAGAAACACACAAGAATGTCTACATTTGTAAGAAGCTTTGTTACAAAAGAACCAACAGTAAATTATAATACTAAAGTGCAGTGCACGTGTGTCCGTCCATCCGTCCGTTTTTTCGATCTCGGCAAATCATAAACAATCTGAAGTAACTGGTAGTATCTACTGTAGTTACATGTGATTAAAAATTGAATAAATAACTCATTTAAAGTTAAATTTAAATATCGAAAGAGTGAAAAGTTTTAAAAACAATTTTTTATTAATGGTTTAACTTTAATTTTGCTTTTCATCGCAACTGCAACTGATATCATGTAATTAAACGGCAATTAAAACTTAGGGCACGGTACGTTGCTCATGTTTTTTTTTCTAGCACGCGTAACGTGACGTATTCAAAATATTACATAGTTTGTATTTTCTAATGTCTTTTAAGAATGACTTTATGTGAAAAGATCACAAAGAATGTTGATTTTAAAAGAAAATAAAAATTGCGAGCAAAATAAATGTAAACAAACTATGGAGATTGGTTGCGTATACGAAGAAAGATGATGCCGAATTAAAGTGTTGAATAAAGATAAAATAATTTTATTGTTTCTAATTTCTTATAACTTTTAAGTACATAAGAGTTGAAGCTAAAAGGGTGAAGGCCCAAAAGCTTTCCGCAGGAGCTAAGCTTAAAGTCCGCCTGAAGGTCGGGTTCTAGAGTAGTTCCAGTCCAAGCTACTTTTCATAATTACTCAGAAGTATGAAATTTTGGATTATAATCTGAGATTTAAAAAACAAATTCAAAAAACAAAAACAGTTGCTCTCAAGATAAAAAAAGGAGTATAAAACAAAATGAAGGAAGAAATTGGATTACCTTTTATCAAAATTTGGAACCTTTGATCTTGGGGTGCTTGATACCTGTCGAATAAAAAAAGATAAAAGTTAGTTTTGAAGCAATGAAAATTTAAAGCAACAGGATGCAAACGGATCTTGCCACTTCTAATATAAAAAAAAATACAGAAAATGTATTATCTGTGAATTCTAATTTCAGATCTATGTTACAAAAAAAAGAAGGAAAAAAAAAAACCCCAGTCAATCTGAAATATAAAAAATAAAACGAAATCTAACCTTGTTTATATATCTAACTTGAATATGTATGGATCAATATTATGTTGAAATCAAACTAGGGCTGATGCAGTTTAAATTCATGTAAAACTTTCCCGTAAAGCAAATTATGTGGAAGAGTTATATACTCTGGTTTAGTAGAAGAGATGGACAAGTAATACTGGATAAAACAGGCAAGTATTAACTGATATGAATTATCTCCCCTCCACATCGAAACGATATTAACTGATATGAGTTGTCTCCCCTACTCATGGAAAGCAGAATGAGAACAATCTATTCCCATAGCTTGAATAAAAAGGTTCATTGCAAAATTCCAAGAAGGTTACTGAATATAATAAAAGACACCTGACGAAAGATGGAGGCTATAACGGTCGAAACGTTGTGAGTATAACAATCATGAAGTTGGACCGAATAGCAAAAGTTATATTAGGTTGGTGCAAAAATAATGTCGTTTTGACGTTAAGTTGAACGTCAAAACGACATTATTTTTGCACCAACCTAATAATAATAACTCCTCATATCAAAGATTCCAACATGAAATGACTCTTGTAAAAATTCAGATGTATATAAAAATATATCTGCAAAAAAGGAATTAGACCTGTGTTTCCAGGGGCACCTTTTTTACATAATGACTCCTACCTCAAGGGAAAAACGACCTGTGTTTCCTGAGGGCACCTATTTTTACATAGTGATTCCTATCCAAGGGGGAAATGAATCTGGGCTTGATGAGGTCACCTTTTTACATAATGACTCAAAGGAATTGGACCTGTGTTTCCAGGGGGCACCTTTTTTTACATAATGACTCCTACCTCAAGGGAGATGGATCTGTGTTTCCTGAGAGCTCCTTTTTTGTGATAGGCAGAAAAACAGTCTGTGCAATATACTTCTGTACATTGGATGCAGCACTGAAGCAAAAAATAGAATAAATAAAAGCAATTATTATGTATTCAGTAAGTAATTAATCAGCCCGCCCACTTGAAAACATACATTTCCAAAAGAAATAAGTAAAAAAAAACTTGAAATTTAAATAATAAAAAAATGACATTTTCCTTTGAAAAAAAAAAACATTGGGAAACTAGGAAATGGGGAGATTGGATTGTTTCTATTTTATTTAAACTTTGACCTTTCTACATTTAAAGGCAAAAAATATTTTTACATTGTAGGAATTTTTTTTGAAGATGATAATACTTTAGTGATACAAGTTTTACTAATTAACCCATAGCTGGAGAGAGAAGAGGTGGATTTATACCTTTCCCTAGAGTATTTGCTTGTCAGCGAATATGACAAATCCGATTAGAATTGAAACACGGCTCTTCCATTACACCACCCATTACATTTAGCGGTCACCCATCTGGGTACTGACCATGTTCGATGTTGCTTAACTTCGGTGATCGTACAGGAACCGGTGTTTCAACGTGGTGTGGCCGTAAGCCCATTATGCCACTTGGCACCTGGCATTCACATGCGGTCACCTATCTAAGTACTGACCAGGCTTGACGTTGCTTAACTTCGTTGGTCGTACGGGAAGTGGTGTTTCAACTGATGTGGTCGTAAGCCTTGATAACTGAATAGAAATTAAACATTTCTGACATTTAGTTATTAACTAAATCCTTTGAAATAATTTACAAATACCAACTTTATCTGCTTTCAGTTTTTGGGCCCACATTTTTTTCTTGAAAGTGAATTTTACTAAAATGTATTGTCGTCAATATTATTATTATTATTATTTTTATTTTCTTTGATTTCTGGCGTTTACACATTTCTTTCCGGGTCCCGCTCAGGGACCTAAGGTTAGAAATGGCGTCATGACACTTTCCACTGACAAAAAAAAAAAAGATTACATAGATAAAGCCCTTCGTAAGGTGTGGGCTGTACTTGTCAGAACAATTTTCTGTATCTCCTTGAGGCATGGACTTCCAGGAATCCCTTCAATTAGTCTACTGGAATCTTTTCCAACCAGTCCTAGGGCTCCAACTACAACAGGGATTGTTGATGTTCCCATATGCCACATTTTCGCGATTTCTATTTCAAGGTCCTTGATTATTATTATTATTATTATTATTATTTACAATCTTTATCATCATCATCATCATCATCATCATCATCATCATCTAATGGGCTTTAATTTTAACTTAATTTCAATAGAAATTTTTTCTTTTGTATGAATATATGATACTATCCTATTCTAATTATGCTTGTCCGACACTTCGTTAGTTCACACGACCGTTATGTCTTGACGTTACCTCATAAATAATGGACTATTCCATTTTGATCGCGTGAAAAGAGGGGGAAATAAACTACTTGGTTTCAGTGAGAAAATGAATGAAAGAAAGAAAGAAAGAAAGAAAGAAGGGAAGGCAGAATTTTTAACAGCTGTTTCAGTGAAAAGGAAAAAAACTTGTCGAGTTCTACGAAAATAAAATATCCGTAGAAATTTCCCTATCACATCGTTAAATATCTAAGATTAATAATTTATCAAATATTGCAATTAACAATCATAAATATGAACGCTGGTCATTATTTTAAGAAGTAAGGGGGTACAAATGAAAAGATTTGAAATTGACAACTTTTGCCTTTTCACTAAAACAGCCGTTAAACACTTCTTTCTTTCTTTCTTTTTCTTTCTTTCTTTCACTGAACCCCAGTATATCACTGATATGTTATCATTATCAACACAGAATAGTCCATTATTTATGTGGTATTCCTTCCTTCCTTCCTTCCTTCCTTCCTTCCTTCCTTCCTTCCTTCCTTCCTTCCTTCCTCTGAGTCCAAGGAGCGTCTCTGATATCTGTTTTGTTCATCAAAAGGAAATAGTCCATTACTTATGAGGTATTGGCAGGGCGTAACGGCCGTGCATACTAACGAAGAGAGGAACAAGCACAATTATAATAGGATTATTATTATTAATTACCAAAGAGCTTATTTTTAGAGTTTCTCACAAATAGATATAAAACACATACCAATGCTGCCTCATTTGACTCACATTGGCCACACAGTTTCGCATTATTTCTGGTGCTCGTCTTAAAAGCATCAAGAGAAGTATTGGAGATGTCGCTAAGTTTTTTGGATAAAGAAAAAGCTTCATTTCGATTTGGCAGATCTGCAAAACCAAGAATAGCGTTATTAAAAAAATATCACATTTTGACAACTCCTATTTAAGTGCCATCCTCTTTATGTATCAAGTGTTATAGGAATGTTGTCAACTATGAACACGGCCACAATGTGTTGACCATGTTTGGAAAGTAAAATATTCCTATAACTCTGTATGCATCTATACATACATAAAACAATCCATACATTCAGTTAAAAAAAAAACTAAAAATAAAATCGTCCTTGAAAATGGCTGAAAGTATAGCTGAAAGCGCTCGGACATACAAAACATTTGAATAATTTCTACATAATTTACGCTCAGGAAAAGAAAAAAATTATGAAAACATAAGAAAAATGAAAAAAAATCTAACTTATATATATATATATATATATATATATGTAAGCAAATATATGGATATAGATCCGACAGTATGAAGAAAAATATACAGAAAAAACAAACAAAAATCTTAATATGCAATTATGCTGTATTAATGTTAATATAAAGTCAACGTCGGACGTTTCGGTCTATTTTAGACCATCATCAGGACATATTTATAAAACATAATTAACATTAGAACATATAAAATTTTATATAAAAAATTTCAGTTATCTGTTTGGATTAGTTGTGCTCTTATGTCCATCGTCTTTTTCATGTTGAATTTTATATGTTCTAATGTTAATCATGTTTTATAAATATGTCCTGATGATGGTCTAAAATAGACCGAAACGTCCGACGTTGACTTTATATTAACATTAATACAGCATAATTGCATATTAAGATTTTTGTTTGTTTTTTCTGTATATTTTTCTTCATATACATATATATATATATATATATATATATATATATATATATATATATATATGTGTGTGTGTGTGTGTGTGTGTGTGTTTGTGTGTGTGTGTGCATTTATTTTTATTTTAATGCTCTCAAATTCACGGATCAATTCTTAGTTCTCTTGTTAAACTGATTAAGAAGGACGCTGAAGTTTTGGTTATTTCTTTTATTTTCACAAGTACTTTCAATCTCCTCCAAGATCATCTTCAGGGGTGAATTGCTAAGACGAAAAATTAGTGTAATTAATAGTTGTGATTTTTTTGTAAATGCGCATGAAACGCGCTTCGTTATATTCAATATAAAAATTAACTGTTAAGAATATGTAACTTAATTTATATATTTTATTATTATTAATGTTTTAGAATACTCAACCTGCAATTTATATTTTTTTTTACAATTTACTTGTTTTATAAAAATATTAATTGGCAATACAAGTATACTCCACTGCAAAAATTCTTGTAGCACTCTATATAAAAAATGAAACCAACATTGAATAAGATAATTATCAATATAGTAACAATATTTTAAAATGCCTATAAAAGCAATGTTTTGGAATACTTAAATTGTAAAAAAAAAAAAAAAAAATTAAAAAATTGCAGGATCAGTATTTTAAAACATTATTAATAAAAATAAGTTACCTTCCTTACATATTCTGAACTGTTCATTTTTAAATTGACTATAAAAAAAGTGCGCATTTACAAAATACAATCGCAACAATCAATTACATTAATGTTTGTCATAGCAATTCACCCCTAAAGATGATCTTGGATTAGCCAAGTACTTAGTACTTAGGGAAAATAAAAGAAATGACTAAAACTACGGCGTCTTTCTTAATCAGTTTAATAAGTGCACTAAGAAATTGACCTGTGAATTTGAGAGGATTAAAATAAAAAAAATAGAATAGATATATATATATATATATATATATATATATATATATATATATATATATATATATATATATATGCCTCACTCTATAGTTAGAGTTTTATTATTAATTAGTAACTAGATTCTGGGATTTTGTTAAAATTAACAGGTTCATTCCATGATGAGATTCTTCAATTCCTTTAAAATCTAATGTCTTCTTTTTCATTACTTACTGAGTTGTTCGTCTGTCAGCATCTTCACTTTTCCAACCTGTTTTATATAAAAGAAATTTATTAACAATTTGAATCCCACAGATAAATATATGAAATCTACAAATGGTAATATCTAAAAAAAGACAAAAAGAAAAGAAAAAGATAAAAGAAAAGGAAAAAAATAGAAAAGGAAAGAAAAAAGAAAATGAAATAAAAAAGAAAAACAGAAAAAAAGGCAAAAAGAAAAGAGAAAGAAAATAAAAAAATAAAATAAAATAAAAAAGGAAATAAAATAAAAAAGAAAAACATAAAAGAAAAGAAAAAAGCAAAAAGAAAGAAAATAAAAAGAAAATGAAATAAAAAGAAAACAGAAAAGAAATGAAAAAGAAACGAAAAAAAATCAAATAAAATAAAAAAGGAAATATAATAAAAATAAAAACACAAAAGAAAAGAAAAAGAAAAAGAAAAAGAAAAGAAAAAGAAAATGAAATAAAAAGGAAAACAAAAAAGAAATGAAAAAGAAAAGAAAAAAGAAAAAAGAAAAATAAAATAAAAAAGGAAATAAAAATAAAATAAAAATAAAAACATAAAATAAAAGAAAAAAGAAAAGAAAAAGTCAAAAGAAAGAAAAGAAAAAAGAAAGAAGAGAAAAAGAAAAGAAACATGTCAATAGTTAATTTATGTCACCGCAAAAAAACACATTCAAAAGAGCAGTTTTCTCTTGTCACCGTTATTACTGAATACACTTTTGACTACCTCTGCAATGTTTATTTCTTCTTTATACGCCATTTTGCCTCAGAACGTAGACGATGATGGCTCTCCACAATTTCCTGTCTTTTTAGCTCTTAATATTTTTTTTGTTATTTCTCTAACCCCTGTCCTGCCATCCATTTGCTGAAGGTCATTAAGTATGTCATGCGTTGTTTTGCTCTGTCTCGCTTGCCCTCAATCTATCCTGTGAGTATCAGATTTTCCAGGCCCTCCTTCCTCCTTATGTGCCCCAGAAACTTCAACTGTTTCCTCCTGATGTTAATCATAAATTTCCTTTTTGTTTCCATTTTCTCTAAAATCCTGTTGTTGCTCACATGTTCGATCCACGGTATCCTCAGCATTCATCGGTAGAACCACATTTCTGTTGCTTCAAATCTCTTCTTCATCTTTTAGGACATTCACTTCCAATAAGGAGGACAGATATCACGTAACAGTTCAATACTCTTTTCTTTGCTTCTAACAACGTTTTTTTATGTCTCTAAATACTCTGCTTAGCTTTTAGAATGCATCTTTGGCTATCCCAATGCGCCTTTGGATTTCAGCATCGCACTTTCCGTTCTCTGTTAGAACACTTCCCAGATATTTAAATTTTTGTACTTATTTGATTTTAGTATCCCTGATTTGCAGTCCAGACTTTAGGTTGTTCCTTTCACTGACAACCATGGATTCTGACTTCTTGCAATTAATTAATGTTTAGTCCTTTCTCCTCGCTTTCATTCACTACCTTCTGTAAGTGTCTTTGTAGTTTTATTTATGGGATCATAAAAATACGTAAACCAAATACAATGCGATATTTATCATTTACCTTATATAAAGATTTATTATTCAACATTTTAACTCTTCAAACCTTAAATATTGTGGTGCGGAGTAGAACAGGCCTGAACCTCAAGAACTGCTCACATACAATAGCCAAGAACATTGATATCTGATGATGAGGGAGGTTATTTGTCCTTGGTGATGAAGCCAAGAGAATTGTCTTTGCACCACTGCTGCTGTGTCACATGAGCAGCATGGCTCGTCGCTCCATCTTGTTGAAGTGTCCAATATTCATTATTACAAATGGCATTACATCACGGCTTGAGTATATTTTCCAAGATGTCCTCTATGTACACTTCCTTGTTGATCTTTTCTCCTTGAGATACGAAAACAAGAGGAGACTTCCTACTTTCTGATATGGCTGCCCAAACCATAACTGATGTCGGTTTCTGGGTTTTGAGGCATTTTCCTGAAGTGGCAGGAACTGAATGATGACTTGATGAAAGAACACAACCATTTTGATGATTAAAAGTCTGTTCAACAATGAATTTTTCAGCAACTGCTCATTTCTTTGAAGCTTCTTTTTCATTTTGGCTGCTGAAAGTAGCTGCCTCTTGGTTATCTTGTAGGGCGACATCCCTAGATCATTTTGTCATAGTCTTCCCATGGCTCTCTCCGATGTACCGGCCTCCTTAGTCAATTTTCTCATTAACGTTCTTGGATTACGCCTTTTTTTTCACGCACCTGTTTAATGTGTTTTGGCATTTTGGAGGTGCGTAGATGTCCTGGTCTCGGTCTATCTTTGATGAAGGAAGTCTCGTATCACTCAATTGTCCTTTTTTTTTATATAAACGTTCTATTGATTCTAAGTTGTTTTCCAGCTTTAAAAATCTCACGTGGAGTCCGTTTTCATGTTGCTTAATGATATACTTATGATATACTTTCTTTTAACTTTTATAGACATTGTTGCCAGTAAATTCTAAAACCCTTTGAAAAAAAAACAACAGCAAATAGTCTGCAATGTTAGGCGACTGTCAAACCATAAACAACAATGTAATGACCAAAAATTTTAAAGTAGAAATCATTTTAAATTTTGTAACCGTATTTATGTCGCACCCCGATGAGAACAATACAGGGTGTGTCCTTAAAGTCTAGACACATAGAAAATCTCCTTAGCTATATTTGTTTTACCCCCACAGATTAAACATAGTTTTGTCGAAAGAAGAAAGAACTGACTTATTTTTCTGGTCAATGCTAAAGGAGAAGTTGTACTCAATGAAAATCACCGATGCAACACACTTGATTGAACGCGTAAAGAGTGAATGTTCAATGTGAAATTATTGCATTAAGTTCACGTGACTCTTGCAAAGCACATCAACCTTTGCATCACAAATGATGGAAATCATATTGAAGATGTTATTTGTTAATATTTCAATTCAATAAAATGTTGAAAATTTAATTTCTTGAAAATATGCATTTTTGCCTATATCCAGGAATTATTTTAGGAATTATATATAAAAATTTAAAGACAAAATGATGAATTGATTTCTGAGGTAAAATTTTAACATGACGATTGCGCAGCCAAAGATTATTCAAAAGGAATGAGAGAATATGAATTTTAGAAAAGACATTTACCAATGCCATAAAAAATGTTGTTGAAAATTGAATTTCTTGAAAATATGCATTTTTGCTTATGTGTCCAGATTTTAATACAAGAATATTGCGGTATGATTATTTTTTTTCAAAAACTGCTTGTACGATAAAATCTTAAAAACCTTTACCAACTCATTGATCAAATATCAGATTCTTACCGCGATGCACTCTTGACAAAAGATGCAATAATTTCGATCATCTGCAATCATTAAATGTCGCATTGAGAAAAGACAAAAGAACTGACCTTCTTGTTGGAAAGTCTGGACTGTAGAACTGTATTGGCATAAGTAGTCAGTTTGCCTTTCTGCCCAGACTTCCAGAACTGTCCACCACGGTTCCTGCAAAATACAAATTTATTTTACCAAATTATAGTTCACATTAGTATTTGTCAATAAATAAATAAATGTCGATGCTCTTAGGGTTTCTGATTTTAACTGATTGAAAGCATTAACATGTACATGTATTCGAGGTTGGTGCAAGGGTCTCATGCCTCCCTCAATCTATAATAAAGGGCCTCCCACTCTACTCAATTTTCATAAGGTAGTATCCATATAAAATACAAATTTTGTTATAACCTAATTATGTACAATAATGGGTCATATGCAATATAGATGAAGAATTCAACTAGAAAAATTGAAAATAAATTCAATGATTATTTACTGCAATACAATTTTGGTACAAGGCCGAAGGGAAAGTGGGGTGAGACTGGTTAACACTGTCTATCCTAAAACCTAGCGAATCTGATCTTCAATTTATTAATTCCTTACAATTTACTCTATCACCACAAGAACTCATCCATCAGCATTCAATCCAACTTATACCATAATACCGCATATTCACAGGGATCCTACGAATATACCCATGACATAATAATTTGATAATATACATTTTTTTAAATAAAATATATAAAAATATATGGCATGAAATGAGTGAGGAAGGGATGAACCTAATAACGAAATAAAGTACAACCAGACATTAAAAAAATATTAGTAGGACCCGGCCACCTCACAGAAAAATAAGAGTGGCCACTGTATTCTGCCGCTAAAATAAATAAATAAAATAAATGTATCTAAATACAAATTAGAGACATGTCATTCCATCTTAAATAAATCAACAATGTTCTGCGGTAATTTTTAACATCATCTGAGAATTTTTCTTGTTAAAAGGTTGAATAATTTTTAACCCATTCAACATTATGGATAAAAAATAGTGAATTTTATATCGTGTTTTTCGAGACTTATCATGAGGAAAACCAATTCACGGATTTGGACGAAAAAAAGACGTCAGAATGAAGTCGAAATCCGCGAAAAAATTTAATCCTTCAATAATTAGTTGTCCTTAGCATAATCTCTCTATATAAATGGCAATTTTTGTCTGTCTGTCTGAATCAAGTTGCCGCCTAAATCCGTGAACCAATATTGATGAAATTTTGCATACATGTTAAACTAACATCCAGTTTGATGCTAAGCTAACTGTTTTTTTTTTTTTTGTTTTTTATAAAAGTCTATAATTGATCGCAGCTCGCCGCCGGGTCTTACGCGAAACGCTCTTTACATGTTTATCACTGTGTTTAAGCAAGGGAGATAATTGGTATTGCAAACCTTTTAGAAATTAAGATACACGTGTTACTGTAGCGTACGTACCAAATATAGCGTCGGGTCGATTCACTAAATGTAGCAGGAACACCAAATATATAGGTACGACTATTTATATTAATGATTCTTCCACGTACAGGATTCAAGAAATAATAACATCAACTCCAATTTGTTAACCAACAAATATATATTGAATAAAATACAAGAAGCATGAAATAAAATCGTATTCACAATGTAGATTAAAGAGAAGGAAGTTCTTTCCCTTTGACTGTAGATTGATTGTAATCAACTGTTTGAAGAAAGTTCTCTTGTGAGATAAATGTTCCGAAATAATTGTTAGAACAAAGTTTGTATGTGAAGAATGAATAACACCACGAATACAATTGCTTGAAATGTGTTGTGAATAAACTGGTTTGAATCATCAAAGTTATGGTTGATTGTGCTTGGTGAAAGTTACAGAGAGAAAATGTAAGTTTGCAGTTACAAAATTCTTTGTCTGTGTGCGCGTTAATGTGTGATGAGCAAGATCATGGATTTGTGTTGACGGCTGGGATCTTACTGGTGACTTGCGAAAAGTCTCCCTATTTAAAGATAAGAGGTAGGCTCCCACGAACCGCGGGAAAACTTGATCTTGCATTAAAAATATGTGATTGGTTAAAAATTAACCAATCACTACACACGTACTAAACAGAATAGATAAGTATGCTCAGAACCAAAAGATTCAAAGGAACGACTGCGATGGCTAAATTGTCTTATACAAAGGTAGTAGTAATTTATCGCAGGCGAATAAAATGACTTGGAGTGTATATGGGTGTGAAAAACATAGCAACCGCTATATTACGAAATAATAACTCTTAAAAAGCTTAAACTTCCAGACAGATATGGATATTTGTTCGATTTTTAAAATTTAGGGGACAACATCTGAACGAATCGAATTATTTTAATTCAATATAATCTTTCTTTGAATACGATCTCCATTCTGTGTTTACATTGCAAAATTATGATCTGATGCGATTTCTTTAAAAATAAATATAATTACACTTCTTTAGGGTTTCTTGTTAGAAATTGGGACAGAAGGGAAACTAGGGAGAGCCTTAACTATGAAATATTTAGACTATGTCAGAGTAGTTGTTTTAGAAAATGTTTTTAGCGACCAGAATGATCAGCTAAGCTTAGCATGGACCCAAAGTCCATACAGACCCGACATAAATCGGTCTTTGTTCGATTTTACACATTTGCGGACACGATCTAACCGAACCAAAGGTCGTTTCGTTAAAATAATCCTTATTTGACTTTCTAATTCTGCATAGTCTTTCTTCGTAGCCGACTGTTCATTACCATCGTAGCAAAAGTACACCTACATTAAATTAAATAACTAAAATTGGGATCGAAATAATACTCTTATAAATCGTAAAATAGCACCCCCCTAAAGGCTATATTCCCTGTGAACGCACAAATGTCCTTTTCAGCGTTACTTTGAAATGTTACTTTCGGATGACCGAAGAAAGGATATGAAAACGAGAACTGGGGATAAAATCTGCTTTTCCAGCAATTACCGGGCACGTCAGCTAGTTTGTATATAAATGTAGGTAGAAAAAAGCCAATGTTGATAAGATAGCAAGGGTTACAAAGCACTTTCCGGAGTCCCTAATTAAGGTTGAACGACCCGCCAGCCCTTATTATTATTATTATATACCGATTTGTTAAGACCATTTTGCTTCTGTTATCTTCATCTAGCCATCCTAATAAAGCAGGTATCAAAGATGACGAAACGGGTTTGAAAGAATCAATGTATCAGGTCATCCCATAAGTTCTGTCCGAATTTTAACTTTTTGTTAAAATGAACGAAATTTAAAGAATATTTTATAATGTCTAATGAAGCTGAACATTATTTTTATGTTTAGATGCATTTAAACTGATCAAATTTTATTTCAGAGAAAAATAAAATAAAATTTTGTTTGATTAAAACCCTGCTAACATGGAAGTACCCAAGAATCATTTGAGGCACATAATGCTTTATGAGTTCAAGAAAGGAAACTCAGCAGCCGAAGCGGCTAGAAACATTCACTCAGTTTATGGAGAGGAATGTGTGAATGAAAGAACTTGCAGAAGATGGTTTGCAAAATTCAGAGGTGGAGATTTCATCCTTAAAGATGAAGATCGAACCGGACGTCAAGTTGAGTTTGATGAAAAGCTTCTTGAAGCAGCCCTTGAAGAAAATCCTGCTTTATCAGTTGAGGAATTGGCAGTGGTTCTCAGTTCAAACTATACAACTGTTCATCGTCATCTTCAACAACTTGGAAAAGTTCCTAAACTTGGAAAATGGGTGCCTCATGAATTGTCTGAAAACAATCTCAGATCCCGAGTTGACATCTGCTCTTCTCTCCATTCTCGCCAACTTGTTTCACCTTTTTTGATAGACTTGTGAGTGGCGACGAAAAATGGATCTTTTATCGAAATGTTAAGCGTCGTAGAGAGTGGCTCGGTAAAGGGGAAGGACCGCAGCCACAACCGAGAAGGGAACTTCATGGGCAAAAGGTTCTTCTTTCAATCTGGTGGGATCGCCAAGGAATAATCCACTTTGAATTCTTACTACTTAATGTAAGAATTAATGCTGAAATGTACTGTCAGCAATTAGAGCGTTTGAACCAAGCTTTGAGGAAAAAAAACCTGCTCTAGTGAATCGAAAAGAGGTGATGTTTCATCAGGACAATGCGCGACCCGACACAGCAAGAATCACGTCACAAAAGATCGATGAACTTGGTTGGGAGAAAATTCCTCATTCACCTTATTCTCTCGATCTTGCTCCTTCAGACTACCATTTGTTTCGTAGCTTACAGAATCATTTGGAAGAAACAGCTTTTGTAACACAGGAAGAAGTTAAAACTGACATTTTTGAGTTCTTCGAATCAAAGCCAAAAGAATTTTACAGTAATGGAATTAGTAAGCTTGTTAATAGATGGAAGGAAGTCATAGATAATCAGGGAAAATACATTGTTGATTGAATCTGTAATTAAATGTAACACTTGGTCACTTGTTTTCTTTATTCAAAATTCGGACAGAACTTATGGGATGACCTGATACAATAATAACAATCTCGGAAAGTCAAAGTATTTCATAGACTGGGGTGTACATGCTTAAATTTACTATAATGCATATGTACAGTAATAATTCATAATAATCATATTTTTTTAAACGCACCAGGGAAAGCAAAACTTTCAAAATTGCTGGAACCATCAAAAATTACTTCCCCCTTAAATAAGCTCATTAAAGCAAAACGATATTAATAAAATTTTTAGATAATTTATTCAATGTGGCTTGTATTATTTTCAATTACTGTATCAACATGGTCGCGGTTTCCAGCCATATTACGTTGAATCATCGGTTCTCGTACGATCACCAAAAGTTAAGCAACGTTGAGTCTGGTCAGTACCTAGATGGGTGGCGGTAATACGAGGTGCTGTAAGCTTGGATGCGCGGGTGGTGCAATGAATAACAGCTCGGTATTGGAAATCGGAGAGGCGAGTTCCAATTTCAGTCGGATTCGTTATATTCACTAACATGCAAATAAACTTGCGAAAATTATGCATCTTGTCCTCGTAGCTAAGTGTTAATTTGTAGGACTTTGTATCAGTAATAATCATTGACAGAAAAATCTTACAATCTAAAAATATTTTCTGGCTTTAAATAATCTGCAAAGGGTTGATAAGCCGTAAAACAAATCCATTACTCAATCAATCGTCATGCTTGCAAAAATATACTATAAAAATAAACATCTTGGCCACACTTCCTTGATTGCAACCCAGAAGGTATTGATATTGTCGTGGGATGTCTTTTTTGGCATGGCCTGCTCCAAAACACTTCACACGATGTAGTCTAGCAGGTCTAGGTTACGGTTCAGGCCGTGGGTGAGCCAAACATCTACTAGCGAGATATCAAGAAATCTTTGCAGAAGTTATGCATCTTCTTGGCTATGTGACTGGTAGCACGGTCCTCAGCCGCATATAGTTACTCTTTAGGTAGTTGTCCTTGAGCCATGGCAAAACATGGTACTTCAGGAACTTGTTGTAGGCATCATCGCTCAGTTTTCTTCAATATTGCAAAGGAATAAGAGCATCTTTTTTTTCTGACGAAGTCCATGACACTCAAGAACATGAATTGGGATGGATGTTTGGTCTAAAAGATGCTCTCGACATCAACTGTTCACTACACAAAGTACTAGTCATTTCAGTTTTCCAAAACAGCGTCTACTGAAGATTTTCTTGACATGGAATATTTTAACAATGGACACATGATTATTGAGGTACTGGTCACCTTTATGCACCTTTCTAAAAGGTACCTTTGTTTCAGTGGTTAGGATTAAAGCCCAGATCATCTTTGCTGTTGTTATGTTTGGCCTTGCTTGACTCCTGTTTTTCGTTTTAGTAAAATAAAACATATATTCATTTCAACAACAAAGTGAGACATTTAGAAATGTTTATTATCCGAAGGATTCTGTTGGAGTAAGAAAACTCTTGTAATTGTAATGTGGTTGTTACTAAAGTATTTCTGGTTTGTGTTAGTGAATACAGATTCTGGAAGTTATAAGTAAAGGCTATATTTGATAAGAGAAGTGATATTTGGATAAGTTGACTTATCTGTGGCCTTCATTTCTCGAGTGGCTCAATTCCACGTGTTCTCTTTGCAAGAGGCCGGCCGAAAAGAAGGAAGTTTCTAACCCCACCCGCAAAAGGACGGTTTACTTCTTTTATGGAATTAAAAGGAATTAGATTTTTTTTAGTTTCACATGATCACGAGATCAAAACAACTTTTTCGTCAGTTATTTTAGACATGGCTGCTAATGGGTCTTTTGCAATATGGTCTTGAGAGTGTTAATGAATTCTTAGTTTCACTTCTTGCTGACCTTGCCACTGCATGACTTCCTCTGGTTGCTTTTTACTCATGTCTGTGATTTTCTTGATAATATCGTCGTCGTTGGCGGTTTTATCTCGTATCCAAGGATTTAATTTCTTCTTTTCAAATTGCGTCCTTTATGATAGCGTTGATGACTTAGTAGACCGACTACTGGTAAGATGGTATTAGGGGCTGGCCGTAAAAGGTTAATAGCTGACACTATACACTTTGGAAGAGCCGATGGCATTGACTGAATGGTAATGTTGGTGGAGGGCGAGGACGATTTTGCCGGGATTTTCTCTCTTATCGTTTGACTTCTTCCTTTTCTCTTCTGGAGGCTTTCAAGTTTTGGTTCCGATGGTGATAGAACATCGCCAGTTGGCACGTGCGCGTGTTTCAAACTATTTAGGCTCAAATCCAGTGGCTTTCAGTGTTGTTTTGAGTTGTCCCGTGTATCTTCGAAGAGGGCAACCTCGTGGCCTTTTCCTTGAAGTGAGGTCACTGAGTAAGATTCGACGTGGAAACCTTGACTCTTTCAGACTTGCTACATGTCCTGACCATCGAAGACGGTGTTTAATAATCAGCATTTCGATGCTTCGACTGTAAACTCTTTCCAGGACTTTGTTGTTTGTCACATAGTAATTCCATTTGATGTTCCAGATTGAACGAAGCCTTTGCTGGTGAAAGCGTTCTAAATTTTGGATGCAACGTCGATATAGAGTTCAAGCCTCACGATCATATAGCAAAGATGAAATGACAATAGCATTATTAACCATAATTTTTGTTATTAAGTTCAGAACTTTGTTACTAAAGACACGTTTGATTAGCTTTCCAAATGCCCCGGATGCAACTCCAATTCTGTGTTCCACATCATTTTCTGAGGTGCACCTGTTTGGTAAAAAGCAGCCTAGATATGGAAAATGCTCTCTTTCTTCTAGAGGTGTATCACAGATGGTAATATCAAAATCTGGTAAGATGGTATTTGGGGCTGGCCGTAGAAGAATAATTTAGACAGTGTGCAATAACACGCCATGAAGTAAGTTTGACACGCTTTGCTGTTTGTCCTTCTGTGAAGCCTCTTTCTGTGATATCCCTGAAAAAATAGACGTCTGTTAATAGCTGACACTATACACTTTTCACTGCACTTGGTTTTACGTCATTTAGTGTCATGGTTGTTGGGAAATGTTGGCTTAAATTTTACTGCTAGTTTTACTTTCTTAGTTGTGTTTACGCACCTATGCAAAGTGTCCAAATTGTATATTTTCTTCTTTGATGAACATCAAATCTTCAACAACGTTCAATGGAACTGATGTATTACAAATATCAATCAATCAAATGCAAAAAAAAAAAAGAAATATTTTACACATATTTGCATATACCATGGGTTGGTGATGCGAGTATTATATTTGCTAGGCAAATTTCTGTGGGTGTGACTAACTGTTATCTATCTACTAATTCACGTATTCTCTTTGTTGTCTGACCAATGCTTAAACTGATCCAAAAGGAGGTTCTACCACTCCATTATAATGATTTTCTAAGCGTAGCTTAGATGTGGCACAAGGCCGAATGTATGGGGCACTCAGTGAAGATCGAACTCAATATTCTGTCGTAACTCTTTTAGCTAGACAAGCTTGCTAACCATTACACCACGCCGAGGTGCCTGTCGCCCCATTATATTAGTTCAGTAATTTACAAATTCAAATCTCATTGTGACACATTGGTAGGAATCAAGGATTAATCAGTACATATCAACCAATATTCGTTAGAGCAATTTGGACAATCTGCATAGTTGCGTAGACACAACTGGTTCTATGGTAGTTGGACATTTATTAAACTACCAGCAATTAGCCTGGTCTTAAACCAATATATTCTTGGGACTGACGAAGATTTTTTTTGTAATCATTTCACCCCAAGCAAGGCGATAGAGTCACTGAGACTTAAGGGGGTTACTGAGTGTGAAAGAGAATGAGAAGACTTTAGTGGGGAAAAAGGGCAATAAAGGAACATGTTTTAGGAAGAGAGAAGATGGCAATTGATGTTGCATTTAAACTTTTGAAGATTGTAGATATCATGAAAGCAAGACACAGAAATTGATTTCCCCTTCACAAGACGTACAAGAAAAGACACTATTAGACTAGGAAATATGGTTGCATCTAGTTACCTACCTAGATGCCAGTTTAGTGACACGCTTCAATTCAAGCAGTTGAGGCACAAAGGAGGAAGCTTATCAGAACAATTGCCATGCTTAATTCGGTATTTCATTTGACGGTGCTGGAATCTATCTACATTATGTCTTGCCAGCAATCCCTTTGTAAGTAGATGGAGTGGTTGTTAGACTTAAATGTAATAAGCATTTAATTGTTGTATATTCATAATATAGCATCCAGTCTTTGGTATTTATTTTGGTTACTGTGCATATCTTTTGTCCTCGATTGAGCTCTGAGGAGAGGGGATCGATAGACGGGTTTGTTAATTTATTTATACTTTGATATTACTAATATAACTTAATGTAATTTTTTTGTTACCCCACTTTTTTTGTTATGTTTATTCTTATTTTAACACGTCCTTCTTTATCACTTCTATTATATTTTGTACTCCTGCTAAAATACAAGGTATTCCCCCCAAATTGACATCATTTTAAATGTGAATATCAGATTAACTACATGTCTCAGGCAAACGAAATTTAGTCTTCAACTTGAACAATAAAAGATATATGTATCAAAATTCGATATATATAAGATATTCAAGGGGATGTAGATTTTATAACCGATTTCAGAAAGCTTCACAAATGTTCAATATACACACCACCTGTGACACGCCACACGTCAAGTCGGTAGTCCAGTTCCTGTCAGACATGCCGTAGCATGTCTTGCGTAACATTCTCCAGCGTCTCAGTGATTCTCTGCTTGACTTCCCCTATGCTTGTAGGAAACGGAGGGATATACACCTGTTCTTTCACATAATCCCATAGAAAAAAAACACTAAGTGTCAGGACAGGTGAAGGTGGTGGCCATTTTAACAGCACATTGTTATTATCACTGGTATGACCGATCCATCTTCCTGGTAGATTTTCATTTAGCATTGAGATAAGACCGCACTGAGGCGGTGGAGAATGTTATGCAAGACATGCTACAGCGTGTCTGGCAGGAGCTGGACTACCGACTTGACGCGTGTCGTGTCACAAGTGATTCTCATATTGAACATTTGTGAACTTTATGAACTCGTTATAAAATCAACATCCCTTTTAATATCTTGTTCGAATTTTGATAAATAAATCTTTCATTGTTCAACATGAACCCTGTTTAATTTCGTTTTCCTGCGACGTGTAGTTACTCGGATATTCACATTTTAAATTATGTCCATTTTGGGGGAAAACCTGTATTACACATATTTTTGTTGTACTAAGTCAAAATACATATAAATACAAAATGCATGATAGATATTTGTTGCACTAAATACATGAGACACCTAGTGAGGAACGAACTCACAAACAACGACTCGTGAGAGTAGCGCGTTAACCTACAAACCAAAAAAGAAATGTTTGTAACTTGCCACTGTTGCAGCAACCAATCAAAACTTGCAACGGTCGTAGCAACCAATCAAAATATACCACGGTCGTAGTAACCAATCAAAACATGCCACGGTCGTAGCAACCAATCAAAACTTGCAGCGGTCGTAGCAATTAATCAGTTAATACAGCAAACCCATTAATGGCCACTCACTTCCTTTCCTCTCGTTCCAGCTCCATTGTCTTTTTCATCAGCTGCAATCTTTCCTCCATTTTTCTGGTCTCAATTTGATCCACAAAACCAGCACCCATTGTTGCAAAGCTCCTGCCGAAGACAAAAAAAGACCAATTTAGTTTTATCATAGCTTTAGAAATAGATATTTTACAAGCATGCATTTTATCACTTAAAGAGTATTTTTAACTGTTATCCATATTTGAATTTATTTATTAAACAGTATATTTATTTGTTTGCGTCAAATATTCAAGAAATCTTATCAAAGAAAAAATGCGCCCGCTGGCAGGATTCCTCTCCCCCACCTAGCAGGAGAAGCCGTTATTAGATCCTACGTGCTTTAGACCAACTCGGCTACGAAGGATCTTGTCGATCGAGCAAAGCTGTATAGGGTCTTTGAGCAAATTTCTTCAAAGATTCTCGAAACATTATGGGTATCCATGAAAAATAACGATATAAAGTGATAAAAATCTGTCGGATTAATTAAATTAAAAAAATCCATTACTTTTTTAGAAATTTCTTTGTTTACGTTTGGATACGAAATTGAACAATGAATGGTTTGAGAATCTTTGAAGAAATTTGCGCTTAAAGGCAATATTCAGCTTTGCTCGATTAGCGATCCTTCGTGGCCGAGTTGGTTAAAGCAACTAATAATAATAAGGATTTCTCGAATATTCAGGCTGCGAGATGAAAATAAATAAATATACTATTTAATAAATAAACGGAGCGTCTACTCAAACATGGGTATCCACTAAAAATAACGTTTGAGTGATAAAATGTGTTGGGTTAATAAACAGAAAAATCCATTACTTATTTAGGAATTACTAGTATATATGAATATAATGTATAAAAAATGTAAAAATGGGGAGAGCAGAGATAAGAAAGAAATTTTAAAATAGTGATTCAAAAGTATAATGAAAAAGAAACAAATAAAAGTCAACCGGTTATCACTACTCGCTCTTTAGAGCTCAGTCAAGTGCAAAACATATAAATATATACATGACTAAAAAAGAGAGAAGGAAAAATACTACCAGAGAAACAGTAATAGAAATCAAAGAGAGGTTACATTTAGATCCAGCCACCATTCTTTCTGCTTGCAGAGGGAAGGCTGCTCAGACTTAATATACAGGGTCTCAAGCACTTTCAAATGGTATATGCTCTGTTTACTACTGTGAAAAAATATCTCGTAAAACAAGGCACAAATTGGGTTATTTATTAGATGTTCTGCAATTGCAGAACCAGAGGTATTAACAAGTATATGTACATTTTCATACTGTCTTTTACAGATCTTAGCTGGTACGTGCTGATCAATTCTCAACTCTAAGTTTTGATTAGGTCTGTCAATGTGTTCAGTATCACACTGATATTTAAAATTATATCAACGAACTAATATGATGGGGTGGGGACAAAGCATCTTTAAAGATGGATTTCAATATAGTTTTGTTATTAAATAGCTGAAATCAATTCTCATGATTTTTGATTTCTAGAGATCATTTTTTGAAGATAGAACAGTCATATTTATTTTACGAATAAGAGTATATTGCTGTCATATTTATTTTACTAATAAGAGTATATTGCTGTCATATTTATTTTACTAATAAGAGTATATTGCTGTCATATTTATTTTACTAATAAGAGTATATTGCTGTCCTATTTATTTTACTAATAAGAGTATATTGCTGTCATATTTATTTTACTAATAAGAGTATATTGCTGTCATATTTATTTTACTAATAAGAGTATATTGCTGTCATATTTATTTTACTAATAAGAGTATATTGCTGTCATATATGGTCTGATGCTCCAACAATATACCTAGAGATCCTTGATAAAATTCAAAGAAGAACAAACAATATTATTGGTCCTGATCTGGCGTCTCAGCTTCAGTCACTTTCTTACTGCCGTAAATTTGTCTTCCTATATATTTCCTGTGAATAATTTCATTGCAATTGTTCAGATGAGCTCTTCGCCATTTTATATTGTAAATACACATTAGGGCTTAAATTTTTAAATTATTGTTTTTACCCCCACTCCGACAAGAATTGTACATATGGGGGACTAATTAGATTCTTAGGTGTTATGGCGGATGTAGTAAGAATGGTAAGTAAGAAAGCGCAGTTTTCGTGTAAGGAATATTGTAGTATGTTTGAGACAGTGATTGTGGCTAGCTAAGTTTAATTATGAGACAGAAGATGACCATCCTTTCCCCACTGATCTTTTTGGCCTTGTGCCACATTATTGTAAATTTTACAAAATAAATATTGCTCCTCGCATGGTTCCTAGACTTAAAAATTTTTGCGCAGTACTAAGACTGGCGGCGAGGTCTCACCAATTTAAAGTTGAGTCGGCTAGATGTAACCGTAAGTTCTATGCTAACAGTTTCTTCTCTCATACTTCTCGTTTGAGGAATTCTTTTCCGGCTCCACGATTTCCGGCCAACTTTAATCTTCAAAAATTTAAATGCAATGTCAATCACTATCTACTGTTGTCCTGATTACACTTCTGTAATCGCTCCTTAGTAATGTTACTGTTTTCTAATTCTTCTTCACATAGTAATCATTTGTTTCTTAATGGTTTCTCTGCTTTGCTGAGTGGGGGACGGGTGAACCTGATTTATATATATATATATATATATATATATATATATATATATATATATATATATATCTTACTTATTATAAAACGCAGATTGTGTGTGTGTGTCTGTATGTTTATATATTGGATCAGATTTCTTACATTTTTCAACGGATTTCAACAAAACTTCACAGGACTACATAAAATTACCTTGCGGTAGTTCTGACAGCGCCCAAAATTGGAAAAACACAATTATTTTTGCACGAAATCAGTTTGAAAACACGATTAAGAGACATTAATGAAAGGGGGACAACTCATATCGAGTTATACTTATAAAACCCAGGTTGTGTGTGTGTGTGTGTGTGTGTTCGTTTATATATGGGATCGGATTTCCTACATTTTTCAACCGATTTCAACAAAACTTCACTTTTTTTTTCACAGGTAGTGTTTCTTATTGTCTTGCACACTTTTTTCTTTATTTTTACATTCAGAATGCTTTAAAAATTCCATTTACAAGACAATTGTTTATAATAAAATTCTATTCAACCGATAGACTCATAACGATTGAAAACAATGTTTTTGTTTGAGTTTGGGTTTGACCAATTCGTAAAATAAACAAAAAAAAAAAAAAAAACTAATTAAGACATGCGTGTCCATCAACCTTAAACAATAATCTTTGTTAATTTTATTTTTCAGTCTTTATGATGGTCGATACTTACTTATCTATCTCTTACTGTTACATCCCCGAGCAATGCCGGGCTCTACTGCTAGTATATATATATATATATATATATATATATATATATATTGAAAATTAAAAAAGAAATTGAAATGTTAGCTAAAGTTCAGAATCCAATTTTTAGAATTACATCTATGAACAACAGTGATAAATATTACTTGTTGCACCATCAAAAGTTATATTTTATAAATTCATAAAAGTCCACTCATAATTTCTATTCTTTATTATTTCATACGATCCATTGCTAAGGATGAAGGTAAAATGATCGGCTCTCTATATTTCTCCATTAAGTACCTGGCTATTCCCTACCTTTATAAGAGCCAGAACAGGCCGAAAAATGGAGTACGGTTATCATATTTGGACAGGATCTGTCCAGACCTCACTTTCCAGTTCAAAACCGTCTCCGAGTCAAATTATTCTGTACCCGTCAACCTCTCTCACACAGGTGGCATGTGGTGCAGCCTTTCGCTGCTCTACTGCTACTTCCTCGGAAAGAGGTCGGACGAACTACATTCCCTGGTCCCGCCAAGTCAAACCTTTCACGGCAAGAATATGCCATGCCACTTACACAGTAACAAACCACCCACATTCCCTATGCATTCCATCGGTGAGAAGTACGTTCCACTCGAACTGCTCTGTAGAATAGGCTCCCAACAGGATGTTTCCCTGATCACTACAATTTTAACCTGTTCAAGTCTCGTGTTAAGCGTTATCTCCCACTCCTATACACTTAAATGACCTCCTAACGTAACCCTCTAGATCGAGTGGTTCCCGGGCCTTGTAAACAGTGAACCTTACTGTAAAAAAAAAATAATTAATGACATGTTATGCATCATACAAAGTGGAGCCATCTGGCCTCACCAAGACTGCTCATACGTAACAGTTGTTCGGCGGAGGAGGTGTAAAGCCCTGAGACAATATATAAATTCCAGCTGATATGTGTGGATGACTGGTGTGGGACTTTCACTTATCTGTTTGCAATAATCTATATGTAGATATTTCTACCGGCTTCTTGCTTACCAGTCAACATTGAGTTTCAAAAATGTAAATGCAATGTCACTCGTTATATATTGTCTTCTTAATTCCCGTTCTTTTATTGTTCTCTCTCCTTAATAATGTTTTCCTTTTTCTCATATTCCCTCACACTAAGTAACCTTTGCGTCTTAGTGGCTTTATTACTTAGTTTGGGTCGAAATGATAAGTTAAAGATAGACGTGATTATGATCTAAAAGGTAACATGATTCAAAAATGTAAGCGTACTATTAGATTGGAGGCAAGGTCTCATCATTTTACAGTTGAATTAGATAGATGTAACCCCAAGTTCTATGCTAACAGTTTATTCTATCGCACTTCTCGCCTGTGGAACTCTCTTCCGTCTTTTTGCTTCCTAGTCAACTTTGATCTTCAAAACTGTAAATGCAATGTCAATCATTATATTCTGTCTTCTTAATTCCCATTCTTTTATTGCTCTCTCTCTCTCTCTCTCCTCTCTCTCTCTCTCTCCCTCTCTCTCTCTTTCTCTCTCTCTCCTTAATAGTATTTTTCTCATATTCATTCACAGTCAGTAAACCCTTGTATCTTAGTGGCTTTATTGCCTTGCTTGGGGGCGAAATGATTAAAAAACAAGGTAAATAGCTTAATGCTGGAAAAGGCATTTATTATTATTATTCGTGCATGTTATGTTTCCTGCTTTGTATCATGTAGAGCAGTGTCCAAACTAAGATCCTTAGGTCTTATAAGAGAATTGTCAGCACTTTTCTTAGTATATGGGATTTTCCTAAATGTTTCTGGGCAACTTGTAGGTTGAGGTTACCTGGGACACTTTTAGTAAAATTGTTCATTCCTTTTTCTCGTGTGTGTGTGTGTGTGTGTGTGTGTGTGTGTGTGTGTGTGTGTGTGTGGCAGAGCTCTAATTACTATTGGTACAGTCTCAGTCTTCATTCCCCCTAATCCTGTTAATCTCGATCTCCAGGTCCTTGTATTTGAACAATTTCACGATAATTTTCATAGACATGTAGATGGTACTGCTATGTCAATAAGCATACACTTCCTGAATTCCTTGTCTTTCATGAGAATATCTAGTCTGTTGGCTTTTATTTCCCTGTCAATTTGAATCGACATATCCCAGAGGATAGTTACATCGTTATTTTGGATAACCGTATCTGGTTGGTGCTCATACCATCTCTCAATGGTTTTGATTTTGTGCTTTTTTGCATATCTTCCAGTGCATATATGTTGCTACCTTTTTATGTCGGTTTTTCATTTTTTGCTAGTTCCGGACATCCTGAGATAATATGGTCGACAGTTTCATCGTATTTTCCGCAGATCCTGCATTTCGCGTTAGTTCCATCCTTGATAATGTGATAGTGAAAGGATCTGGTTACGAGGCTTTGGTTCTGAGCTGTCATAATTAGGTTTTTAAACCGGTGCTCATCAGATTATGATTATTATTATTATTAATGTCATCATCATCATCATTCGATTTCTGCTATGGACACACTACCTACCAAGTGCGGAAAGACCTAAGGCAGGTCGTGGTGTGTTGTTTTAATTTCACCGTTGCTAGCGTTACATAGACAAAGTTCTCCTTAGTGTGTGTGCTGTACTTAATAAGACAATTTTCTGTATGTCTCTTATTGGGGTTTCAGGGATTCTTTCAATGTGTTGTTTTGTTCCATTTTTTATAATTCCAAGTGCACCTATTACCACTGGTATTATTCTTGTTTTCAATTTCCACATTTTTTTCTATTTCAATTTCCAGGTCTTTGTATTATTATTATTATTATTTCCTTTGATTTATGTTCTATACATATTTTCTTCTGGGTCCCAGCCAGAGACCTAAGGTCAGCAATGGCTTCATGACATCTTCCACTTATCATTTTTGTGAAAAAAGCCCTAAAATCACAGACATTTTACATAGAAAAAACTCTTCGTAACGTGTGAGCTGTACTTGTGGGTACAATTTTTAAAAAATATTTCTATAAGGTATGGGCTACCAAGAATCCCTTGAATGAATCTATCGGAACCTTTTCCAATCAATCTGAGGGTTCGAAATACAACTAGAATTTTTGATGTCCTCGTGTACCACATTTATGAGATTTACACTACAAGATACTTATATTTTGATAGTTTTTGAAGATCTTCAAAGATACATTACTATCTGCAGGGACTGCCATGTCAATAAAACACATTCTGTTTTTGTGGTCTTTGATCGTGACTATTATTATTATTATTATTATTATTGTTTCCTTTGATTTCTGGTGTGTACTAATTTCTTTCCGGGTCACAACCAGAGACCTAAGGTCAGAAATGGCAGCATGACATTTTCCACCAACCAATTTAATATATATATATATATATATATGATATGTCCTGAAAAGGGATATATTTGAACGAAGCAGCTAAGTGGTTTTGGCTACTATAACCAAGTAGAATACGGCAGCAGTAATCGACTGGTACGCGTCGTAGTCGCAGGTAAGAAGTGTAGATCAATGGCATAGTCCAGTAGGCGTAGTTATAGACTTAGCTCTCAGACTAAGGCTCTCTTGACTCTGTCGTACCTACAGGTCCGTTGGTATTTATGACGGACACCAGCCAATCATATTCAAGTGAGGGGAACACAGGTGTGCATATTCCATTATTCCATTATATATATATATATATATATATATATATATATATATATATATATGGTGTACATCGATCCGGGTAACCTGCATGTCTGGAGATATATCGTTTCGTTCTTATTTTTAGTACTGCTTTTCCCATTCCACCGAGTACACATTGCCCGGCCCAGGGATTGAACTCACAATTAATATGTCACCCAAATTTACGAACCTACGCTTTAATCAACTAGATGAAAATTCCGCTGAAGGTCGTAGGCTGAAACCACCGAATGATAATAATAACAAAGACGAAGACAGTGGTTTGGATGAAAACAGCGTAAATAATGATAACTCATCTCAGAAATTCAGACAGAAACAAAAATATTTCTTTTCTTTGTTAATATACTTAATCCAGTGTTGAGTATGAATCATATATATATATATATATATATATATATATATATATATATATATATATATATATAACGCTATACAGTCAAAGTTTCAGATCAAAATTCAACTAATAGCTACATACTTTATTGGTGTACCCTCATATGCAAGATTTCAGTTAAGTACTTTTACAGTGTTTTGATAGAAACTGAAATAATTTAAGATTAAATAGGGACGCTACCATTTCAATAGCAAATCCCTCAGATCTGACAAAGTAAACCTGGTAGCTGCTCTCAAAAAGGACCTCCAATAAGTGGTTAACTGGGGCAAAAAATAGCTTGTAAATTTTGACGACTCCAAAACAAAACTGCTTTCATTTAACCACCACAGAGAACCTTTTCTGCTTGCCATCAGCATGTCTTTAATCAACTAGGCTATTATCCCGCTGAAGGCCGTAGCTCATAACAGCCAAAACGTAATGACAACAAAGATGAAGACAATAGTTTGAATGCATAAAGTATAAATGATGAAACTCACCATCCCAAAAATTCAGACAAACAAAAATATTTATTTTTCAACATAATCCCTTTCTTTGTTAATATACTTAATCCAGTGTTGAATATGAATCATATATTGACGAAACGTTATTCAGTCAAAGTTTCAGATCAAAATATTATCTAAGAGCTACATGTTAGGCTACAGATTTATTTATGCACCCTCATATGCAAGATTTCAGTTAAGTACTTTTACACTGCTTTTGATAGAAACTGAAATAGTTTAAGATTAAATAGAGACACTATCATTTAATCTTGTCTCAATAGCAAATCCCTCAGATCTGACATAGCAAATCCCTCAGACCTGACATAGCAAATCCCTCAGATCTGACATAGCAAATCTGGTAGCTGCTCTTGAAAATGCCCGCAATCATTGGTTAACTGAGGCAAGTATGGCTTGTAAATTTTGACGACTCAAAAATAAAACTGCTTTCATTTGCTCGCCTACCATCAACATGGCTGAGGCTAGACTCCAGGAGAGCAAGACTCTACGCCTTCTTGGCCTCACGTTTTTCCACTGACATGAAGTGGAGCAACTATATCGAACCAACAGCTGCATCTACTGCAAGGAAAGTTGGGTCACTGTATCGTGCAAGAAAATTTGTCTCGTCAGAATCAATCTTGTATATTTATAAATCTACCATTTGTCCGTGCGTTGAATGCTGTTGCTATACCTGATCTGGTGTACGTCGAGAGATTCTTGAAAAAGATCCAAAGAACGATCTGTAATGCAATCGATTCTGACCAGGCATCTCGACTTAATCACTTTCTGAACGATGTGATGTTGCTTCTCTCTGTCTTTTCTATAAATATTTTCATGGTAACTGCTTCAATGAGCTTTTTTTCCTGGTGCCTCGAATACATGAATTTAAACGTGCTCATAGATTGGTAAATAGGTTCCACCGTTTTACTGTTGAAATAGCTAAATGCAACCGCCACTTCTACTCCAACAATTTATTTCCTTACACTTCCCACCTGTGGAACTCCCTTCTATTTTCTTGCTTCCCTGATAACTACAATCTTCCAAAATTTAAATGCAACCTCAATCGACATCTTCTTGAATCCCATTCATCTTTTCTCCTTTCCTCAATCCTCTCTATTCTCAATTTTTTCTTTCATTCCCTGTGACCCTGCGTACTAGTGGCATTCTTGCCTTGCTTGGGGGTGAAATGATTAAAAAGAAAAAAGAGAAATTGTTAAAATAACTAACTTATAAACATCTTTTTAGAATCTTATAAAAGTGTCCCTAGTAAAGTTTGCAGTGATGATTTCAAGGAATTCTTATTTCTGAAAGAATAATCAACTTTTTAGAAATGAATTAAAAGAAGAAAAATAATGTCATTGACATTGAAAGTGATATTAAGCGTAAAGCAAATTTTCTTGTTTTATAATTTCAGCTTGGAAATATCGACCAAATTATCGAAGGAAATATCAAGCATCTCTGTAGATAGCGACAGAGCCCAGTGTATGTGCTTGTTGGCTGATTAAATATTAATTTGAACCAATCAGAAAATGCTTTACCTGGCTTTGGTTTTGGCTGCAAAGTTCATTTTAGATTGATAACGGTTCATCGTTGAGCTGAAAGATAAAAATGCATTGTATAGTAATAGTTGCATTTGGAACTAAGCCTAAAACACTAGTAGTGAGATTAGATGAATTAGAAAATTGAGGAGTAAGTGTTCAAACTGCCCAAGTTACAATATTTCTTGAATCTCTGCTGGAGATTAAAAGAGGTATGCTATCATGCACGTCCCTAGTAATAACCTCCAGACATCTAATATAGACAGACATATAATAATAATAATAATAATAATAATAATAATAATAATAATAATAATGACAGAAAAATTGAAGCAAATAGGCCGGACATTATTGTCAAAAACCAGAAAGAAAAAAAAAAACTTGCCTACTAATTGATATGGCTTGTCCAGCGGATTGTAACATAGCAACCAAGGAATTTGAAAACTATCAAAATACAAAGACCTGAAATTGAAATAGAAAAAATGTGGAAATTGAAAACAAGAATAATACCAGTGGTAATAGGTACTTGGAATTATAAAAATGGAACAAAACAACACATTGAAAGAATCCCTGAAACCCCAGCTTAAGAGACATACAGAAAATTGTCTTATTAAGTACAGCACACACACTAAGGAGAACTTTGTCTATGTAACTAGCAACTTCATCGGAAAAAAAAAAAAAAAAACATGAAATGGCCATAACAACACACCACGACCTGCCTTAGGTCTTTCCGCAGACTTGGTAGGTAGTGTGTCCATAGCAGAAATCGAATGATGATGATGATGACAATAATAATAATAATAATGATAATAAAGACTACAAGATGTGCTTTCATATTGACGTAGTAGTCCCTGGAGAGTGTAATGTATCTTTTAAGATCTTCAAAAAAAAAAAAAAAATCTATCAAAATACAAAGATCTTGAAGTGGAAATCTAAAAAATGTGGCACATGAGGACATCAATATTTCCATTTGTAGTTGGAGTCCTCGGATTAATTGGAAAAGGTACCAATAGACTCACTGAAAGGATACCTGGTATCCCACGCATTAAAGAAATCCAAAACATTGTACTCACAAGTACAACTCACACATTACGAAGGGCCTTATCTATGTAAAATGTGTGTGATCTTAGTTTTTTTCTAAATGAACAGTGGAAGATGTAATGAAGCCATTTCTGACCTTAAGTCTCTAGTTGGGATCTGGAAAGAAATGTATATATATATGAAAGGAAATAATAATAATAATGCCTCCTTATTGATATGGCAGTCCCTGCTGACTACAATGTATCTTTGAAGATATTCAAAAAGCTGTCAAAATACAAGGACCTTGAAATAGAAATCTCGAAAATGTGGCATATGGGAACTTCAACAATCCCTGTTGTAGTTGAAGCCCTAGGACTGGTTGGAAAAGATTGCAGTAGACTAATTGAAGGGATTCCTGGAAGTCCATGCCTCAAGGAGATACAAAAGATTGCCTAACAAGTACAGCCCACACTTTACGAAGGGCTTTATCTATGTAATTTTTTTTTTTTTTTGTCAGTGGAAAGTGTCATGATGCCATTTCTAATCTTAGGGCCCTGGGCGGGACCCGGAAAGAAATGTGTAAACGCCAGAAATTAAAGAAAATAAAAATAATAATAATAATAATTCCAGAAGAGCATGATTGATTTCCAGAAAAGTAAAAGTAAAAACAAAGACACATTGTTTATGATGTTTTAACAATACATCTGTCTTCTTCAAGTTATAGACACTCAAAACTTTATTGGCGTTTCCGATCGCTGTATAAAATAAAAACAGTCATAGGAGGCGAAAACTTTGTTCATTATGCAACAATACGAGTCAAATCAATTCTATCACAAATTCTAAAAGAAATATTACGATTTTTTTTAAGAAAGTGGGAACTGTGCCAATTGCCATTTAGAAGGGAGATTCTCTCCAAAATTCTGATGCTTGGTTCAGATTTTTGATCAATTAGTTGGGCTGAGAACTTTTCAGCACCTTCTCTAACTGTGAATCACTCATTTTCCAGTGAGAGGAAACGTAATTATATCTATTAAAACTACTATAAACATTTTTTTTTAAATCGGTATCACCCCATGCAAGGCCGTAAAGCCACTAAGACACAAGGAGTTACAGGATGTGGAAGAATTAGGAACAGAAACATTAATAATGAGGGAGAATAGAAAAGAGTAATCAGTAGGAGAGTAGATGGCGATTGACATTGCATTTCCATTTTTGCAGCTAAAAGCTTGTTGGAAAGCATGGAGGCGGAAAGGAGTCCCACCAGCGATAAGTACAAGAAATGAAACTGTTAGTCTAGAGCTTACGGCTATATCTAGTCAGTTCAACCATAGCTTGATGAGATTCAGACGTCATTCCGGTACAGCGCTTAAATTGAAAAAGTCTAGGTATCATCGCGAAGAGATCATCCAAACAATATTGAATATTAAATTATTAGATAGAATATTTTCTTTGTTAATCTCTTGTTAAATTATATCATTATTAAAGCTGGAGTATACAATTAAATATCTGAATAAATAGCAACGATGAAAAGGCAGTTGAAATTCATATTTTCTAACACATTACATGTTTGCAGTAATTGGTTTTCTCTGCTTTCTTTTATATAGTTTCTGATAGAATCGGGGCCAACGAGTTTTGTTGTTGAGGCTGACTCAAAGGGTTACAGCCCAATCAATAGTTATCCCCCCACCATTACCAACAAAGAATCAATACTGCTGATGTCATAATAATAATAATAATAATAATAGCCACTATATCAATGTCATGCTGAACTGTGAACAAAATGACCTACAAGTTTTTTCAGGTCTGATGGTTATGGGTAACGAGCAAGCAGGCAATAATCTAAATAATAATGTTTTGTTTGAGGCAAGTCATTTTCTGGCACCTGCATTTTCAATCAAATCATCTATATACATGTAAATGAAGAAAGAAAGAAAATGAAAAAAACAAGGAAAAAAGAAAGAAAAAGAAAAAAAAATCAAGGAGAAAAGAAAGAAAAGGAAAAAGACGGAAAAAGAAGAGAGAAAAGGTAAAAAGGAAGAAAAAGAAAATGAAAAGAAAGTAAAAGAAAGGAAAAAGAAAATAGTAAAAGAAGACAGAAAGAAAATAAGTAATAATAAAAGAAAAGAAAAGAAATAAATAAGAAAGAAAGAAAGAAAAAAGCTAGAAAGAAAGAAAATGAAGAAAGAATGAAAATGGTAAAAGAAGAAAACAAAAAAGAAATAAAAAGAAGGAAGGAAAGAAAAAAGAAAGAAAAAGAAGGAAGGAAAGAAAAAAGAAATAAAAAGAAGGAAGGAAAGAAAAAAGAAATAAAAAGAAGGAAGAAAACAAAAAAGAAATAAAAAGAAGGAAGGAAAGAAAAAAGAAATAAAAAGAAGGAAGGAAAGAAAAAAGAAATAAAAAAAAGGAAGGAAAGAAAAGAAATAAAAGAAGGAAGAAAACAAAAAAGAAATAAAAAGAAGGAAGGAAAGAAAAAAAAAGAAAAAGAAGGAAGGAAAGAAAAAAGAAAGAAAAAGAAGAGAGAGGATAAAGTCAGAGTAAGCAAAGTGTATTCATTTCCTTTTGTAACCTAGCAATGGTTTTTTATAGTTGGCTGCAAATTAAAAAAAATTATATTTATAATCAAGTTTTATAATTTAGCATCATTTTAATAACTAGTAATAATTATTAATATTAAGACATAGGCATGTGTGTGTATGCGCGCGTATTTGTTTGTCTGTGTGTGTGTGTGAGAGAGAGAGAGAGAGAGAGAGAGACACACACACACACACACACACACACACACACACACACACACACACACACACACACACACACACCGCTGGGAAAATTGATTCATGCAGCAAATTTGTTTTTATGCTGTTTGATTTAATTTTCTTTTTTTTTTTTCTATCGGACTCTAATACTAAAGAGTCGACTTGTGTATCATGCTGAGGCGGGGAATGAAAGAATTAGATGACTATAGACAGAGGGATTGGAAAGGGAGGATACACAATGTCATCGGAATGAGAAGTGTATTCCAAACAATAAAAGCAAGGGAAGGGGTGGCCAGGAAAAACACTTTATTAAATAAATGTCAAAAACCTGCATATAAAATATTGAATATGTTTTCTGTATCAATACAGCCAAGACCAAAATATTTTTATATTTCAAATGTTGAAGGAGATCTGGAGAGAGTTCTGCAGTATAGTTGGTTTTACTAAACTTTTTCTTTTGTTGGAATATAAATACTTTCATGGTAATTGTTCTTATGGACTTTCCTCTACGGTACCTAGACTTTATGAATTTAAGCGCAGTACTAGATTGGCAGATAGGTCTCATCATCTTACATTTGAATTGGCTAGATGCAGCCGTAAGTTTTATGTTAACAGTTTCTTCTCTTGCACTTCTCGCTTGTGCAACTCCGGCTTCTTGCTTCCCAGTCAACTTTGGCCTTCAAAAATTTATATGCAATGTCAATGGTTATCTTCTATCTTCGTAATTCTTGTTCTTTTATTGTCCTCTCTCCTTAATAGTATTTTTTCATACTTTCTAACATTTATTAACCCCTTCTGGCTTAGTGACTTTAGTGCCTTGCTTGCGGTGGAATTATTAAAAAAAGATGAGGTGTTTTAATCATTGTATGTAGTTGCTTTTGATTAATTTTCTGTGTGTATCTTCTAGACTTCCTTAAGATTCAGCTACATTCCTGAATATCACCTGAATGTCACCTGAAGAAGGCTAGAAGATACAAGGCTGAAACGTCGTGGGAAAAAAAAAACAAAAAAAAAACAGAGTGAAGACGAGGAAGTTAGTCTGATTTATTTTTGGTTAGGAAAATATAATGAACGAGATAAATTAAAAAAATTATCAATTTGAGCCCATAGGAATTTGCTGGAAAATCGAAAGGTGATACATTTTTTTATTTGGTGGTGGTGATGGTGGTGGGGGCAAAATGTCAGTCATAAAGCCACGATAGACTGAACTTATGTTGACCCCTTTTAAATTTTGAGCTCCTTGATAAACACATCGCTCAGACACCAGAAGTCCTATA